GTTTATCAGAGGCTGAGTGGGACGGGGGGGTGGGTAAGTTGGGAGTAGAATGGTGGTTTATCAGAGGCTGAGCGGGGTCGGGGGGCGTAAGTTGGGAGTAGAATGGTGGTTTATCAGAGGCTGAGCGGGGTCGGGGGGAAGTTGGGAGTAGAATGGTGGTTTATCAGAGGCTGAGCGGGGGAGGGGGAAGTCGGGAGTAGAATGGTGGTTTATCAGAGGCTAAGCAGGGCCGGGGTGCAGGTAAGTTGGGAGTAGAATGGTGGTTTATCAGAGGCTGAGCAGGGCGGGGGTGAAGTTAGGATTAGAATGGTGGTTTATCAGAGGCTGAGCAGGGCGGGGGTGAAGTTAGGATTAGAATGGCGGTTTATCACAGGCTGATCAGGGCAGAGTGGGGGGTGGGAAAAGGGGAACTATTCAATGGGATAATGCTTCAGCAAGGAGAGATACATTCTGGTGATATGGTGCACAGCAAAGTGACAGCAGTTACTCATAATGAAGTGCGTATCTTAAAACTGCTAAAATACTACAACTCAAATGTTTCACCATAATGTAATAAATATGTGAGGTGGAGGATATGTTATTTAACCTAATTTGTCCATTTCACAATATTTACATGTATTGTACCACATTGTATCCATATATATTTATTTATCAATAAAAACAATTTTAAAAAGCGAGCAAAACAGTTGTGGCCAGATCTTCATCTAAAGACATTTCTGAGAAAAATGTATCTGTTTTCTTTCAGAATAAATTTACAGTTAATAGATATTATGTTACCTAAAGTAAAGCGGATAATTTTGGCCATCAGCTTATACTGTGGGATAATCTCTTTTTGCTGACCTTGTAAAAGCTGGGCGGATTAACAACAAGTAGGAAAGATTTTTATCATGATCAGGTAAAGGTTCTGCATGCTTCTATTTTGAATAATATTGTCCCCCTAGAATCGCAAAGTGTGAATGCCTTTTGTTTCAGAGGTCTAGCCCTAAATGGTTTAGTCAATTACATCTTGCATTCTAAAACAAGTCCTGGTGCGTTTGTGATGGTACTATATATAATTGTGTTTTTAATTTAACTATCATATATGTCTACTTTTCTGTTAAAAGTCTATATTTTACAGAGGCCCTCCATACATATAAGTGCTTTTATGATAGTCTATCCACTAAATTTCAAACATAAGTTAAGGAACCGTTTTGCTTTTATTTTTTATTATTGTTATTATATTTTAAGGTAGTCAAGTGAAGCAGTGGGAGTGGAGAAGGAACTGCTTTATTTTATATGTTGGTGTTACAGACTGTATGTGACAGGCTATATATTTGTCGGCTGAATTTTAGAAACAAAGTGAAATATTTATTTCGTATTTCATTAGATATAGGGATGATGATTACTTCAAGGGATTGTCGCTAGACTGAAAGCATCACATCATCAATCACTTGGAAACAATATTTTGCCTATGTGTTCTGTTATGTTGACAAAAACTTTTATTGTGGCAATATACCTCACAACTGAAATATGTGAAAAATATACAGAAAAAAAGACAATATTTGTTATTAAGGGATATTTAGGCCTGAGCTGCAAGATGCAAATATTTAAACATACACTTTTTAAAAATTACATTTAAAATGTAAATTGAAGCAAGGCATTTAGAAAAAGACATAATATCTACTATAAAAGTCCTAGGTTAGAAAAGTTAAAATACTAAATGAGAAAATAATGCTTCTTGGGTAGTTTAAAATCAAATATGAGGCAAAAAATTACTCAGAACTTTTTGTAAGATTAAGAACATGCTCTAAGCCTGTTACATTTGGGGGGGATACATAGAGATCAAATGAAATAAACCGTCCTACAAAAATACAAAAATAGCCGGGAGGGGGGGGGATGGGAGGGAGGAGAAGGCTAAATGGAGGGGAGTTGATACTGAATATGACTAGTAAAAAAAAAAAAAAAAAAAAAAAAAAAAAAAAAAAAAAAAAAAAAAAAAAAAAAAAAAATGTCTGAATATAACTTTAATAGAATAGGCAAACAAGGGCAAAGGAGAGGTGTATGCAGAATAAAGTGAACATATTATTCTAACAATGAGAGGGACAGAATTGAATGATTGCTCTTGGAGACAAGGGATTTTAATGTCTGAGTCAATGACAAAACTTTCGTTTGCAAGTTAAAAAATGTACCTTAAACCTGGTGAAGGAATAAAGGGTGGTGGAGGGGATGATCTTTGTACACTAAACTGGTTTTAATGACTATTGAATTAATCATAAGTTCAAATGATTTTATGGAGGCCGTTTCTTTTTATTTGATATTTCTGGACTGCTTTTCTCTTTGTATTTGCTCCATTTTTACCCACTTGAACAAATTTTCCCCACAAAGTTTAGGAAACACTGTAACCACATGCTCCAGCATGATGTGATCCCTGAAAGCATTTGCAGCTGGGAGAGGAGGCAAAGGGGCTTCTCTTTCAACAAATGCATATTAATCTCAGTGAAAACTCAGAAGTTTAAACATGGTCCTCCTTGGGTCATGTGGCTGCCCCAGGACCAGTCGTTGCACCAGACATAGGAGATAGTCTCAAAAGTCAGGCTGGAGTCAAGGTTCTCTGGTGGAGTTTCCACTTTAGAAATGGGTTTTGTCAGGCTTTGTGTTTTCGTGTTACAGACATGATAGCCATATATCTATCTATTCCACTTCCAGTGGAGATGAAAACCTAACGCATATGCCCACTCAATGGATTTTACATGAATCTTCATAGCAGCTTTACTTGCAACAGCCAAAACCTGAAAACAGTCCAAATGTCCATGGACAGGTGAATTTGTGACTGAAAAATTTACTATGGTATATGTATATAATGAAATAATACTCCCTAGTAAGAACAGAACAATTGATAGATGTAGCAACATGAATAAATCTCCAAAATAGTGATGCTGAGTGATGAAAAAGTATACCCACCCTATGATTTCATGTATTTGGAAATAAAAACTCACAGGGACTGCAGGTGGATCAGTGGTTGCCTGTGGATGGGGTGGGGATAGGCAAGAGAAAGTGAGTAGCAAAAACACAAGAAAACTTTGGTGGTAAAGGTAATGGATATGCTTTTTATTTGAATATGTTGTTGGTTTTATAGAGCTACAAATACCAAGAATAATCAAAATGTACAATTGAAGTATGTGCAGTTTATTGCATGTAAATAAACCTTTTAAAAATTAACTGATACAAATTGACTTACATGACCAGAAATCTGTTGAAAACTCTCATGTTTTCTTCCCTATTTTTATTCTTGTGTGCTCTTACAGACCGTGTGAACACATTTCTCATCTTACTGTTCTTTTATGTCTACATTTCTCCAGGTCAATATAACTATCACCATAATTTCTTGCTTTCTCTTTAGTTCATTAGTAATTATGAGTAATGTATTGAAATGTTAAAGATATGTTCATGCATTCAGAATCCTCTGCTCTCTGATCCACATAATAGTGAATTAAGCTGTCAACAATTACACAGAATATTGCTCCTTTTTGTTTGTTTGTTTTTTGATGAAGTCTGTCTTGGTTACCCAGGCTGGAATGCAATGGCACATTCTGGGCTCACTGCAACCTCCACCTCCCGGTTCAAGCAATTTTCCTGCCTCAGCCTCCTGAGCAGCTGGGATTACAGGCATCTGCCATCATCCTCAACTAATTTTTGTGTTTTTATTAGAGACAGTGTTTCACCACATTGGCCAGGCTGGTCTTGAACCCGTGACCTCAGGTGATCTGCCCACCTTGGCCTCCCAAAAGCTGGCATTACAGGCATAAGCCACCATGCCCAGCCAGAATATTGCTACTTTTTCAAATAGCTACAATTAACCCTGATCTGGACACCTTGAGTTGATCATAGCTTGTAAAAGAGGATAGCATTGTAAAACTATAAAAGTAGACTAATAATAAATAACAGAATGCTTTCAGTATAAGAAATAACACTATCCTAAGCAAAAATAAATAATAAATAAATAAATAAATAAAGCTGGAGGAATTTTATTATCTGACTTCATATTATACTACAGAATTATAGTAACCAAAAGAATATGGTACTGGCATAAAAACAGACCATAGATCAATGGAACAGAATAGAGAACCAGTAGCAAATCTACATAGCTACAGTGGACTCATTTTTGACAAAGGTGCCAAGAACATACACTGGTGGTAAATGGTGTTGAAAAAACTGGATATCCATATGCAGAGGAATGAAAACAGACTAGTATCTCTCATAATATATGAAAGTAAAATCAAAGTTGATTAAAACTCCAACAATAAAACTAGTACAAAAAAAGTTTGAGGAAAATCTCCAGAACATTGGTCTGGGCAAAAATATTTTGAGCAATACCCACAAGCACAGGCAACCAAAACACAAATGGACAAATGGATCACACTAAGTTAAAAAGCTTCTGCCCAGAAAATGATACAATCAACAAAATTAAGAGACAATCCACAGAATGGGAGAAAATATTTGCAAACTACTCTTCCGACAAGGGATTAATAATCAGAATATATAAAAAGCTCGAACAACTCTTTAAGAAACAATCTAATAACCTGGTTTAAAAAAGGGGGTAAAAGATTTGAATAGATATTTCTCAAAAAAGACCTACAAATGGCAAACAGGTATAAGAAATGGTGCTCAGTATCACTGATCATCAGAGAAATGCAAATTAAAACTACAATGAGATACATCTCACCACAGTTTAAATGACTTGTAAGCAAGCCAGGGAAAGTCTACTTTGATTGACTTATGGCCCTAGTCACCTGGCAGTTCCTTCAGATGTGGCTTCCCAGGTTTGTGTATCCATGTGACAATGTGCCTGTGTGTCCTTGTGTCCACGTGGCAGTGTCTGTGTGGTGGTATCTGACAGTGTGGAGGTGTGTCCATGTCACAGTGTGGCGGTGTGTCTGTGTGTGTGGCAGTGTCCATGTGGCAGTGTGTCTGTGTGTTCGTGTGAGAGTGATGGTGTGTCCCTGTGACAGTGTGGTATGTCTCTGTGTGTCTGTGTGTCCCTGTGGTATGTGGTCGTGTGTCCTTATGGTGATGTCTCCGTGTGTCTGTGTCCGTGTGACAGTCTGGTGCTGTGCCCGTGTGGTGACTTCTCCGTATGTCTGTCTGTCCGTCCATGTGACAGTGTGGCAGTGTGTCCGTGTCGTAATGTCTCCGTGTGTCTGTACATGTGACAGTGTGGTGGTGTGTCTGTGTGTCCGTATGGTGACATCTCCATGTGTGTGTCTGTCCATGTGGCCATGTGGTGGTGTGCCTGTGTGGTGTGTCTTCGTGTGGCGGTGTGTCAGTGTGACAGTGTAGCGGTGTTCCTTCTCCAGCGTGCAGAGCTGGCACCTTGCCCTCTCAGCCCAGGACGCCCCAGAAGGCCCCAGCTTGGCGGGCAGGAGGTGGCTCCTGTGGAGGGAGGTGCAGGGAGCCCCGAGAGCCGAGTTTGTGGGGTCCCCTGCATTGGGTGGGAGTGAGGAGAAAGGCACCCAGGCAGCCAGGAGAAGGCTGGGCCTGCCCTAAGGAGGTGACCCGCTCTGGGCCTGCATTTCCCGGGCCGAGTACTCCAGCTCAGTCATCTTGTCCTGAGTCCTTTGTGGGCCTTGGAGATTGCTGAGGTTTGAAGAAGGGAAGGTCATCTTTGTTGCGGAAAGCCTGATGTGTTTCTCTGTTGCTGTCACTTTTCAGCCTCATCGCTGGTGAAACATCAAACATGGGACACCTTCTGCCAAGAAAACTCCTGGAAGTAAATGTGGGGACTGGCAGTATCCAACCAGAGGAGTCACACGGGGATTTCTGTTTGTTTGGAGATCTGCGTTTTTCCCTGTGGGTGGCGGAAGCGGAGCAGCTCTGCGGCGGGAAGGAAGGTGGGTTCTGTGCTACAGGAAGGTCCTGGCCTGGGGCGGATGCGCCAGAGGGGATGGGCGGTCAGGGGCTGTGCAGGCCACCGGGCAGTGTGCATTCCCCCGGCTGGTCGCCCAGGAGGAGGACAGGTCCCGGCCTGGCGGGATCAGAGGCAGCCAGGCTGCGGTCCGCGAACCAGGCGTGATGGCTGGCAGAGCGGTAGGCCATGGCGGAGGGGGACTCCCGGGCACCTGCTGTGCATCCTCATGACCAGGACACACACCGGCCTCTGGAGGCCAGGCGGAGCAAGCAAGGGGCGCCAGGCAAGGTTTGGGGTTCCCGCGGCGGGAGGTGGGTCCCTGGATCCTGGTGTCCTGCTGCTGTCCGGAACATGGGCCGCCTTCCCTCAGGTGCACCGCTCCAGGGTCGCCTATCTGCGACCTCAGCACAGCTGCTGGCTGGTGGGAGGATGGGGCGGAGGCCTCAGGGCCCAGCTGGGTCTGCAGTTTCTGCCACTGGCGGTGGCGCAGGGGTGAGCTCAAGCTGTGCCCAGGCAGGAAACTCTCCGACCTTGCCAGCTTCCGCGCCAGCTTTGGTGACTCTCTCCAGCTCAGCTTCAACACTGTTCAACAGTTCTGTGTTCTCTATTATCACAAGAATTCTTTCTGTATTTGCTATCCTTTATCAAATAAGAATTTAAAGATGCATGTGGAGTGAGATCACAGTTGAAACATTAAAAATATATAATTTCAAGTGTTGTTTAATTTTAATTTTCTAACAAGTAAAATTATGACTCTAGTGCTAATATAAGATAAACACGTATCAACAGTGTTATTCAACTCAGTAAGCAATGAAGTTTCCAGTAAAAGGTTCAAGTCATTGCAAGGAACATTAAAGTAGCTTTACAGCCAATGTTAAGGTGAGATCGTTGGTTAGTTACAATACTAGATGGTATCCAACATAGCCAGAAGCTGTCATCTTTGTGAGTTATCTCTTCCATGGCACAGAAATTATGCGTTTCTCTACTGTACAAAATATTTATCTTTTCTACTACTTCTGCACATAAAAATATTGCTAGTCACAAAAGACCAGGATTGCACTGAAAAAAAAAAAAATCTGAGTACTATCTCTCACCTGTCTTCATACTTCTTTTCTTCCTTTATGAAATATCTTTGAACTGCATTTTCTATCTGAAGGTCTCTGGAGAGAGAGTAAAATGAATAGAAGCATAGTAAGTGAATATTTTGATAACATTTACAGCTTTATTCATGTCGAATGAACATAAAATACACTACCAATATTTAAAGCGTAATGAGATGAATTTGATGTATACATGTGCCCATTAAACAATCACCATGAAGGGGTCAGTGAGCATATCCAATACTCTCAAAGCTTCTCAGTTCCCCTTGGTAATGCACGCTCATACCTCTCAGGTGTGAAGTACTGAGCTACACACACACCCACACACACACACACACACACACTGGATATCTAATTGTTTCAGAAGCATTTGTTGAAAATGTTATGTCCATGAATGCTCTAAGAACTTTATTAAAAACTAGCTGAAAGCTGATATACATGTGTATATCTATATTTGTACCACATTGTCTTAAGTACTGTAACTTGATAAGTCTTGAAACCAGGTGCTGTTAATTCTCCAACAGCACCTGGTTTCAAAGTAATTGTTTCCTTTCAAAGTAATTTGCCTTTATAGGTCCTCTACCCATCGACATACATTTCAGAATTTTAGTTTCTCAATTTCTAAAATAAGGAATACAGCTGTGATTTGATTGGAATTCTTATAGATCAATGTGGGAAGAATAAACATTTTAACAGTATTGAGATTTATGACTCATACATTCCATTGATTGAGGTCTCTTATTTATTTTAACAATATTTTGTAGTTTCGTAGTTTTCAAACGTTTCTTTTTTGCAGGTTTATCCCTAAGTACTACACGCTTTGATATTTGCAATAATATCAAAATTATGGTAATATTAATGTAAATGTTTCATTTTTTCCTCCAGTAATTGTCAGGTAGCTTTAAATCATAATTTAATTGTATGATACAACGGGGTTTTGAGAAACGTATACACATTGTATATATACATTTTTTTCAGTTTGGCAGATTGACTCCACTATCATATCATAATTTAAAATTGCACTAATTACCACCAGCCTGCTCTCAAGGACAATCCATCAAAATATGTATCATGTTTCAGTTTATTTAGCATCATGAAACTCTCACATTGCACTTACTTTTGGAAACCTGGAATAAAACAATAATGTAAATATCAGCTCACAGGCAACATATGGGTACATGTGACAATTTTCTAAATATCGACCTTTCACTATTTAATTCTCTGTTTATATTGTCAATTTTTTCCCTCCTCTTGAAACTCTCTTACACTGCTTATTAAATTTTGGTTCAATTCTCTCCCTACTTTTTCCAATAATCTACTTTCTAATATTTACTGATGCTGTGCTCCTTTTCATTTGGACACTTTAAAAAGCTGCATAATTTCTCCTTTGTATTAAAATGCAAATCCATATCCAAAATAAATGAGCCAGGGACCAAACAGATGTTTGTGCAGTGTGTCCATGAGCAATATTATCCACAATAATCAAAGGGAAGGAGCAGCCCATGTGAATATTGATGGATGAGTAGTTAAAAAAATGTGGTATATATGGCAACGTCATAATATTCGGCCTTAAAATATATTCTGAACATGCTATGAAATAGATGAAACTTGAAGATATGCCAAGTGAAATAAGCCAGTTCGAGAAATTCAAACATTCTATATCATGCCATTTCTGTGAGATACTTTGTGAAATTTGTAGAGACAGAAAGTAGAATGGTGATTGCTACGGGGAGGGGAGGGAGAGGAATAGGAAGTTGGTGTTCAATGAGTACAGAGTTTTAGTTGGAGAAGAAGACAAGTTTTGGAGGTCTATGGTGGTGACTGTTGCACAACAGTGCAAATATACTTAATGCCACAAAACCGTGCACTTAAAGTGATTAAAAACGTAAATCTTTTGTTCTGTATATCTTTCCAGAATTATAAACCTGCAATCACAGTATAGAAATAGAACATGTTATATAGCTTTAGGTGATGATATTTTACACATTTGCACATATAAAATGCTAAATAAATTAAACATGGAATGAAGATTTGTCCTTAAATATAATTTACAAGAAGACTTTGATATTTGTTTTTCACAAGTGAAGCATTCTTATAAACTGTCATGACCTTTTGGGGGAACCTCTGGGAAAAATGGAGAAACTCTGAAGCTACACTCTCCCTAACCTCTCTTTACAGGGAGCTCCTGCAGCTCCTACAGAAATGAGTGGCTGAGATTCTTGATTGCATAGCAGAACTTCTCATCCAAACCCTTTCCCTTTTTAGTGTCTGTGTATCAGTATAAAAGTTCTGTAAACTGTAGTTCCTTATTTTAATCCCAAAGCACAGTAACAATATATTTCATCCTAGCATTGGCAGTTTCTGTGAGTGTTTGTTTAATTCTTAAAACTCTATCTTTGGGATTCCAAAGAGCCTAAAAAGTAAAATATTTTAAAAAGGGGAAAGAGACAAAGAGAAAGAAAATAAAATCAATAGCCCATTCTGTCACTGTTATTAAACACCAGAATACCTTTCTGTTAATCTAATTAAAATTAGTGACATCATTTAGCATTTATGTCTTGAACAAAAGTTTGGAATCCTGAAAAAGAAATTTAATTTGCTAATAAATATATTTGAGTGGAATTGAAATCCTTATATATTACTTCAAATAAGAACACAAGATGAATTATGATATAGAAAATTCTATCTCTCATTGTCCAAAATCTAATAGTTAAATTGAACTTATCGAATAACATTATTTGCCAGGCATGTGGCTTACATCTGGAATCCCAATACTTTAGGAGGCAAAGGCAGGTGGATTGTTTGAGCTGAGGAGTTGCAGACCAGGTTTGGCAGTACAGTGAAACCCAATCTTGAAAAAAAAAAAGCCAGGTGTGGTGGCTTCCTGTAGTCCCAGATACTCAGGAGGATGAGGTGGGAGGATCACGTGAGCCTGGGGAAGCTGGGACTGCAGTGCACCATGATTGTGTCACTGCACTCCAGCTTGAGCAACAGACTGAGACCCTATCTCAAAGAAAGAAAGAGAAAGAGAACAAAAGAACAAGAGAAAGAAAGCAAGAAAGCAGGAAGGAAGGAGGGAAGGAAGGAAGGAAAGAAGGAAAGAAGGAAGGAAGGAGAAAGGAAGGAAGGAAGGAAAAATAATGTTTTTGGTGCCAATAATCTTTGTGAAATTATACATGGAATTTTGCTTTAATGAAATAGATTTAACTAAATTGTGACATAATTTAAGTGTACTGACCCTAGCAATCAGAGACCTCCGAATCTGCACAATGACTTGACAGTTACATTTGACAAGAATTGATTCTCCTATCATACATACAGCATAGTCAGAATTTCAGAACTCCAACTTTCCCTATGCTATTTGTGCACATTGCTTAACATCTCTAAGACTCGATATTTTTACTCTTAAAATACTGCTAATAATAGTACCTAGTTTTTATAACGTGTATCAAAAGCATTATACTTTAAGGCAGATAGTAATTTCTCAGTAAATATTTGCTACTGTGTGTTTTAGTACAAACAGGAAAATTGGATTATGATATTTATGACACTGTTGATTCTCCTTCTAGAAACATTTAATTGTTTCTAAAACTTGTTTTCAAGTAGAGCAGTATTTTGTGTTCAAATTGAAAATACTATATTTCATACTTTTTTAAAAAAGTATTCCTTGAATATTTTCATAAAAAAATTCCTAAATGAGCTTGAGCAAGGAGGACAGGAGAGATCAGTAAAATAAGGCTTTGTGGCATAGGAGACATTTGGTGGAGAGCTTTCAGCTCAAATAAGATTTGGAAAAAAAAAAAAGAGAGAGAGAGAATTTTTATAACAAATGTAAAGGCAGGATTTACCCTGATGAGCTTGTGAAGAAAATACAGAGTATAACGTAATCCAAAAGAGACTAATCAGTCAAAGTAGTTTTGAAGGAAATATCTCGAAGAGAGAGAACATAAAATGAAGATCAGGTATGTAATTATTTTAATAATCTACCCATGAGATAGAAAGCACTGGGTTTTTTGAATTGATCACAAAGGGAAAATAGTTTCAAGAACCATTCTTTGTTCAGCCTAAAGCAGATTTTACATTTTGAAACAATGACATATTGTGCTAAGTAGATAATATCCACATTCGTGTGTATATGAACAATTCTGTTCTCAATAAAACACTTTATTCACACAAGTGATGATTATCTGCATTTGATTTAGTGCTGAAAGGCCAAAGGGGGACTAATAAAATTTTAGAAATGCAAGCGGCTTAACTGGAAAATCATGATCATATTCAACTCATCATGACTGAAATAAGAAAACAAAGCAAAAAATAAATAAGAAAAAAATGGACTACATGAACATTTGCTTCTCTCCTAAGAATCAAAATGCTTAATTTGCTGTGGCTTAAAGACATCTAGGTCCACAAGCCATGCAAAAGTCTACTGTTTCTGGGAGATAAGAAGAAGCAAATCACATCAGCTTTCAGAGAAGGTTAAGAAACCTCTCACACCCTACTCCACCCCACCTGAGACCAGGCAAAGGATCACTGCTTCTAGGGCACGGATGGAGGAAAAATACTTCTCCATCAGGAGAGGAACAAGGATTGTTTTGGGGCCCAGGATTTTGCACTAATGCAGAGTCGTGCTACTGTGGTAAAGGGTTGGAAAATCTCCATCCAGTGACCACAGACAAAGGTGCATTGTTCCTATGGAAGGAGAAAGAAAGAGTTAGCCCTTATGGTGGGTTTGAAAACTTTCAATGATATAAATCAAAGGTTTTCTACCACTGAGGTGGGAGGAGGCAAGATATTATTTCTTCCTCAAAAACCAACACAGATAAGGGACAGTTTGACTCCCACTGGAATAAGAGTCGCGAAGTGCTAAAAATATCCCTTCTCTGAGACTCCGATGATGAAACTGGCTCCAAAATAACATGAATCATCCCTCTGCTCCCAACCTCAATTTTCTGCATAGTCACACACACACAAGAAATGATGTTCTACAGTTAGAGAGGAACAAGAAAGTGGAGAGAGACCCTCTCTGTGACATAGGTGGTAAGGACTACCAGAAGGTAACTGTGGAACAGGAGCATTGGCATATGCCCTGCAGAGCCTAAGGCCCCACACAAGGCACAAGGTATGGCAGCCTACTGCTGGAGAAATTGAAGTTACATGTTCACTGAATGTTTCAGACACCACAGCAAAAACCAGCCTTTGTTCCTGCCCACACTAATAGCAGGACACAAACCAAAATGAAACAGAAACATAAAACAATCTTGACATAAGTAATTATCTCACGAGCTACTGTTTTTGTACATCTGATGATTTGCATTTTTTTAGAAACTGGGAGACACATAAAAGCAAGTTAGAAATTTGAGTTATGAGTTATAATATTTTCAAAAGATAAAAAGTCAACAGAATCAAATTCAGAGATAATTCAGATGTTGGAACTAAATGCAAGTAATTTAAAATAATAATGATCAAAATGTTAAAGGATCTAGTTAAAAAAAAGACATGCATGGAAAAATGAGGAATTTCAGCAGAGATGGGAACAGTAAAAGGCAAAAGCTAGAAATAAGTGAAAGCTTGAGAACAGAGATGAAGAATTACATCAACAAGCTGATTAGCAGACTGGTCATCAGAGTTAAGAAAGAAGCAGCAAATTTTATATTAGGCCAACACAAATTATTTGAATGGCAGCACAAAGGGAAGAAAGAGGAAAACAAAATAAACCAATGAACCAAGCAAATAAAATACTCCAGTGAGTCCAAGAATTCTCTGCTAATACAAAATTCACTAAAATACAATTAATTGGAATTCCAGAAGGAGATTAAAAACAGAGTGTGAGAGAAGAAAAATTTGAAAAAGATGACTGAGGACCCCAAGCAACCTCAAATAGCTCCAAGAAAGATTAATAAAAAATTTAAGGAACGCTAGAATAATCACACTAGTCTAACTGATGAAAACCAACGATTAGCATAAATCTTGAATTCAGTCACAGAAAAATAGGAACATTGTGTACAGAGATAAACAAAAACAAACATTACAGTGAACTGCTTGTCAGCAACTCTACAAGTCACAAACCAATGATACAAAATTTTTAAATAACTAAAAAAAAAATCAGTCCCCAATCTTATATCCATTAACTATATAACTAAAATAACAATTAAATGAAGACATTTTCAGATTAACACTGGAAGAGTCCCTTGCTAACAGGTCTGCACTAAAATAAACGTCAAAACGATTTCTTGAGGCAAAAGGAATATGGAAGCAGATGAATGTTGAAACTACTCAAAGAAATAAAGAGTGCCAGGGAAGATATAAAGATATGTAGCCCAATTATTTTACATTGCTCTAAAGATCATGGATTGTCTAAATTTTTTCTTTTTTAAAAAGAGTAACTTCACATCATGGAATTCATAATATTTGAGACTATAATGCATGACATAAATAGTGTAAAGGAGGGAGGAAACAGAAATATACAATTTAAGGTTTTTATACCATAGTTGATATAATATAAACTGTAGGCTACTGTAATAAGGTAGAATAGGTATTGAAATCTCTAGAGAAACAATAAACATTTTTAAAAGATTGTATGTGCATTAATGTTTTCATAGAACTTTTAGCTTTTATTTATTTGTTTTTATTTTATTTATTTATTTATTTATTTATTTATTTATTTTTGAGATGCAGTCTCGACCTGGAGTGCAATGGCGTGATCTCAGCTCACTACAACCTCCGCCTCTCAGATTCCAATGATTCTCCTGCCTCAGCCCCCCGAGTAGCTGGGATTACAGGTGCATAGTGTGTGGATATTTTCTTCCATTCTGTAGGCTGTCTGTTCAATCCCTTGATAGTTTCTCATGCTGTGCAGAAGAAGCTATTTAGTTTAAATAAATCCCACTTGTCAGTTTTCATTTTTCTGGCAATTGCTTTTGAGTACTTACCCACAAATTCATTGCGAAGTGCAACGTCCAGAAGAATATTTCCTAGTTTTTCTTCCAGGATATTTGCAGTCAGAGGATGTAATCTTATGCCAATGGGTCTTATTAATCAAATGACTCCACAGTGAGAATCATTACTCTGAAAAATCAATTTTGTTATAATGATGGAAATTTAAATATTTGAAAGTAAAAACAGATGCCACTTATTGCTAGAATTCTACAAGGTAAATTGCTATTAGAGAGGCAGAGGAAATATATATATATCTCCAAAATATAATTTGCAGTGAAATAAATAGAAGCACATTATAAATAAACTTACCTGATTTTACAAACTAACCTGTAAAGGGATTTCTACTCATTTTTCTATTGCCTGCAATGCGCTTTCTTCTAGATCCAATTTATAATTTTGTACATCACCAATTTGTCTTCACCTGTGTGTTCTTTCCATAAGCATCTTAAGATTTAATATTTCTTCTTCCAACATATTTTTATCCTCCTCAAATTTTTTACATTCCTGTTCTACTTTTTTCATAGATAATAACTCCCATTGAATAACTTGATTTTATTTAGTCGAATAGACATATTTTGAAGATACAGCTCCCAGCTGTGTTGTAAGATCATCAAACTACATTAATAAAATAATACAGCTTGATAATGAAGGAGGCTGAGAATAATCTCATACAAAACCAGTAACAAAATTTGAAATATATTTACTTGCAATAAAATGTTATCTATAACATACATTCTTTAAATGTTAACCCATAAGTTACTCAGAAATTCAAGAAGAAAGTAAAAGCCACCATGAGTCACAATCATATATTCTTTACTATCATCTTTGCCACAGAACTTCTGCACTTGATCTTTCTTTTATTTTTCTGATAATTTGTGTTTGTTCCTCCTTAAATGGCTCCAAGTTAACTCTTATTAGAAAGTTTCGAACCCCCTTCTCTCATCATCATGCCCCAAAATTTGTCAAAAAAAAGTTTCTGAGATATTATATTGAGTTATTTAGGCCAAAGTCAATAAATGGATCTTAGAATAAGACTTTGAAAATAATGTAATACTCTATGCTAGGCATGGTGGCTCATGCCTGTAATTCCAGCACTTTAGGAGGCTGTGGCAGAAAGATCACATTAGGCTGGGAATTTGAGACCAGCCAGAGCAACATAATGATACCATACTCTCAACAACAACAACAAAACCACATTTGAAAAACTAGCCAGGCATGGTGCCTTATGCTTGCAGCTCCAACTAGTTGGGAGACCAAGGCAAAAGGATGGATTGCACTCAGAGTTCATGGCGGTGGTGAATTACGACAAAATTACTGCACTTCTGTCTGGATGAGAGACAAAGACCATATCTCAAAAAAACACAAAATAATCATATAAATAAGGATTCTAATGCCATAAGCCTTTTCCTAGGTTGCAAATGTTTTATGCTAATTTGAATTGCATTTTAAAACATAAAGTCCTCCTCAAGATGGCTTGTGGAGGTAACCAAGAAGCCTGCAGTGCCATACAAGCCCTGAGGCATGGACTGGAGCCCTAAAGCAAGTACACACCCTGCCACTGAGCCTGCTGCTCATTTCCTCTGTCTGGCTCCATTTGCAGCACAATTGTTGCACTGAGGCTTGTGCATACCTGGCAAGGCCAAGCTGGATCAAAGAGCAATGAGCCAAATCTGCAAGGGTGTGCCAGGAGCCGGTGGACCAGCACACCAACCTCACTCGCTGCCGTTCAGGATACATCATTTCTTCTATCCTAGAGGTAGGGCCTCAGTGCCATCTGCTTTCCTCAGGCCTCTGCTCCAGCAGCCATCAGGTGGCAGGCACTCAGGCTGTGGGAACCTGACCATCCCTGCTTCCTTCAGTGGGTGAGGTTGGTGACTGGTCCAGCTGCTACACGCACACCCTTGCCAAGGTGGCAGGCTGTTCTTTGAACCAGCTTGGCCTTGCCTGTCATACACAGGCCCCAGCTACCCACGTACCGCTCTGAGTGAGTTGTCCTGCCTGAGGCCAAATTCTAAGTCTGGAAAGGGCCACAGAAAGCCTAGACCCCTGGATTGCAATCCTGGCTGTTTTCTTCACTTGAACACAAAGTTCTCCTTCAGACGGCCTGAGGTCTGCCTCTTGACAACAAAGAAGCCGCAGTGCCATCTGAGCCCTGGGGAATTGACTGGAGCCCTAAACGCAGCGCACACCCTGCTCCTGAGCCTGCTGCTCATTTCCTCTATATGGCCCCATTTGTAACACAATTGTTGCACTGAGGTATGTGCATGCCAGGCAAGACCGAGCTGGCTCAAAGAGCAACCAGCCAACTCTGCACGGGTGTGCCAGGAGCCCGTGGACCAGCCACCAATTTCTTCTACCCTAGTGGCAAGGCCTCAGTGTCATCTGCTTTTCCTCGGGCCTCTGCTCCATCAGCCATTGGGTGGCAGCCACTCAGGCTGTTGGAATCTGGCCATCCCTGCTTCCTTCAGTAGGTGAGGTTGCTGGCTGGTCCACCGGTTCCAGGTGCACCATTGCAGTGGTGGCTGGTTGTTCTTTGAGCCAGCTTGGCCTCACCTGGCATGCAGAGGCCCCAGCTACTGAAATGCTCCTCTGAGTGAGCTTGTCCTGCCTTGGGCCAAATTCTAAGTCTGGTCAAGGCCACTGAAGGCCGAGTCCTCTGGGTGGTAATCCTGGCTGCTTTTGTTTTGGAACATGAAGTCCTTCTAAAGAAGGCCTGTGGTCTGCCTCTTTAAAACCAGAAGCCCGCAGTGCCATATGAGCCCTGAGGCATGGACTGGAGCCCCAAAGGCACTGCACACCCTGCTCCTGAGCCTGCTGCTCATTTCCTCTATATGGCTCCATTTGTAGCACAGTTATTGCACTGAGGCTTGTGCATGCGGGGCAAGGCCAAGCTGACTCTAAGAGCAAACAGCCACTTCTCCAAGGGTGTGCCAGGAGCTGGTGAACCAGCCACCAACCCCACTGACTGCCGGTCGGGTACATCAGTTCCTCTACCCTAGAGGTAGGGCCCCAATGTCTTCCGATTTTCCTCAGGCCTCAGCTCCATCAGCCATCAGGTGGCAGACAGTCCGGCTGTTGGAACCTGGCCATCTCTACTTCCTTGAGTGGGTGAGGTAGGTGGCTACTGCAACTGATCCAGGTGCACCCTTGCAGAAGTCACTGGTTGCTCTTTGAGCCAGCTTGGTTTTCCCTGGAATGCACAGACCCCAGGCACCAACATGCTGCTCTGAGTGAGCTGGTCCTGCCTGTGGCCAAATTCTAAGTCTTGCCAGGGCCACAGAAGACCTAGGCCCCTGGGTGGAAATCCTGGCTGCTTTCTGCACTTGAACATAAATTCTTCCTCAAGATGGCCTGTCGTCTGACCCTTGGCAGGAAAGAAGCCCAGAATGCCATCTGAGCCCTGAGGAATTGAGTGGAGCCCTAAAGGCAGGGCACACTGTGCTCCTGAGCCTGCTGCTCATTTCCTCTATATGGCTCCATTTGTAAGACAATTGTCACAATGAGGCTTGTGCATGCAGGACAAGGCCAAGCTGGCTCACGGAGCAACCAACCACCTCTGCAAGGGTGTGCCAGGAGCCCATGGACCAGCCACCAATCTCACTGCCAGTCAGGGTACATCATTTCTTCTACCCCAGGGGTAAGGCCTCAGTGCCATCTGCTTTTCCTCAGGTCTCTGCTCCATCAGCCATCAGCAGGCAGCCACTCAGGCTGTTGGAATCCGGCCATCCCTGCTTCCTTGAGTGGGTGAGGTTGATGGCTGCTCCACCTGTTCCGGGTGCACCCTTGCAGAGATGGCTGGTGGCCCTTTGAGCCAGCTTGGCCTTGCCTGGCATGCACAGACTGCAGGTACCAAAGTGCTGCTCTGAGAGAGCTTGTCCTGCCTGAGGCCAAATTCTAAGTCTGGCCAGGGCCACAGAAGGCCGAGTCCCTTGGGTGGAAATCCTGGCTGCTTTCTGCACTGGAATATAAAGTTCTCCTCAAGATGTCATGTGGTCTCTCTATTTGCAACCAAGAAGCCCGCAGTGCCATCTGAGCCCTGAGGAATTGACTGGAGCCCTAAAAGCAGTGCACACCCTGCTCCTGAGCCTGCTACTCATCTCCACTATACGGCTCCATTTGTAAGACAATTGTTGCACTGAGGCTTGTGCATGCCACACAAGGCCAAGCTGGCTCAAAGAGCAACCAGCCACCTCGGCAAGGGTGTGCCAGGAGCCAGTGGACCAGCCACAAACCTCACTCACTGCCGCTCATGGAACATCAGTTCTACCGTAGAGGTAGGGCCCCAGTGCCATCTGCTTTTCCTCAGGCTTCTGCTCCATCAGCCATCAGGTGGCAGCCACTCAGGCTGTTGGAAACTGGCCATCCCTGCTTCCTTGAGTGGGTGAGGTTGGCAGCTGCTCCACCTGCTCCAGGTGAGCTTATCCTGCCTGAGGCCAAACTCTAAGTCTGGTCAGGGCCACAGAAGACCTAGGCCCCTGGGTGGAAATTCTTTCTGCTTTCTGCACTTGAATATAATAAAGTCCTCCTCAAGATGGCCTGTGGTCTGCCTCTTGGCAAAGAAGAAGCCCGCAGTGCCATCTGAGCACTGAGGCATTGACTGGAGCCCTAAAGGGAGCTCATACCCTGCTGTTGAGCCTGCTGCTCCTTTCCTCAATATGGCTCCATTTGTAAGACAATTGTTGAACTGAGGCTTGTGCATGCCAGGCAAGGCCAAGCTGGCTCAAAGAGCAACCAGCCACCTCTGCAAGGGTGTGCCAGGAGCAGGTGGACCAGCCACCAACCTCACCCACTGCTGCTCGTGTACCTCATTTCTTCTACCTAGAGGTAAGGCCTCAGTGCCATCTGCTTTTCCTCAGGCCTTTACTCCGTCAGCCATCAAGTGGCAGCCAGTCTGGCTTTTGGGACCTGGCCATCCCTACTTCCTTGAGTGGGTGGGGTTGGCGGCTGGTGCAACTGCTCCTGGCACACCCTTGCAGAGGTGGCTGGTTGCTCTTTGAGCCAGGATGGCCTTGCCTTTCATGCACATGCCCCAGCTGCTCCGAGTGATCTTGTGCTGCCTGGGGCCAACTTTTAAATCTGCCCAGGGCCACAGAAGGCAGAGTCCTTAGTCCTCTACTCCATCAGCACCTGCTCCAGGCGCACGCTTGCAGAGTTGGCTGGTTGCTCTTTGAGCCAGCTTGGCCTTGCCTGGCATGCACAGACCACAGACACCGATGTGCTGCTCTGAGTCAGCTTGTCTTGCCTGGGGTCAAATTCTAAGTCTGGCCAGGGCCACGGAATGCCTAGCCCCTGGATTGCAATCCTGGCTGCTTTCTGCACTTGAACATAAAGTCCTCCTGAAGATGCCCTGTGGTCTGACTCTTGGCAACGAAGAAGCCCGCAGTGCCGTCTGAGCCCTGAGGAATTGACTGGAGTCTTAAATGCAGCACACACCCTGCTCCAGAGCTTGCTGCTCCTTTCCTCCATATAGCTCCCTTTGTAAGACAATTGTTGCACTGAGGCTTGTGCATGCCAGGGAAGGCCAAGCTGACTCAAAGAGCAACCAACCACCTCTGCAAGAGTGTGCCAGGAGAAGGTGGACCAGCCACCAACCTCAGTCGCTGCCAGACATGGTAAATCCTTTCTTCTATCCTAAACGTAGGGCCACAGTGCCAACTGCTTTTCCTGAGCGCTCTGCTCCATCAGCCATCAGGCGGCAGTCACTCAGGCTGTCGGAACCTGGCCATCCCTGCTTTCTTGAGAGGGTGAAGTTGGTGGCTGAACCACCTTCTCCAGGCGCACCCTTGCAGAAGTGACTGGTTGCTCTTTGCGCCAGCCTGGACTTGCCTGGCATGCACAGGCCACAGAAACTGACACTGCTCTGTGTAAGCTTGTCCTGCCTGGGGCTAAATTCTAAGTCTGGCCAGGGCCACAGAAGGCCTAGGCCCCTGGGTGGAAATCCTGGCTGCTTTCTGCACTTGAATATAAAGTCCTCCTCAAGACGGCCTGTGGTCTACCTCTTCACAATGAAGAAGCCCGCAGTGCCATCTGAGCCCCGAGGAATTGACTGGAGCCCTAAAGGCAGCACACACCCTGCTCCTGAGCCTGTTGCTCATTTCCTCTATAGGACTCCAGTTGTAAGACAGTTGTTGCACTGAGGCTTGTGCATGCCAGGCAAGACCAAGCTGGCTTGCAACCAGCCAACTCTGCAAGGGTGTGCCAGGAGCCGGTGGACCAGACACCAACCTCACTCACTGATGGTCAGTGTACCTCATTTCTTCTACCCTAGAGGTAAGGCCTCAGTGTCACCTACTTTTCCTCAAGCCTCTGCTCTGTCAGCCATCAGGTGGCAGCCAGTCCGGCTGTTGGGACCTGGCTATCCCTACTTCCTTGAGTGGGTGAGGTTGGTGGCTGGTGCAACTGCTCCAGGCGCAACCTTGCAGAGGTGGCTGGTTGGTCTTTGAGCCAGGATGGCCTTGCCTTGCATGCACGTGTCCCAGCTGCTCCAAGTGATCTTGTCCTTCCTAGGGCCAAATTCTAACTCTGACCAGGGCCACAGAAGGCTGAGTCCCTTGGGTTTAAATCCTGGCTGCTTTCTGCACTTGAACATAAAGTCCTCCTCAAGATGGCCTGTGGTCTCCTCATTTGCAACAAGAAGCCCGCAGTGCCATCTGAGCCCTGAGGAATTGACTGGAGCCCTAAAGGGAGTGCACACCCTGCTCCTGAGCCTGCTACTCCTTTCCTCTATATGGCTCCATGTGTAAGACAATTGTTGCACTGAGGCTTGCGTATGCCAGGCAAGGCCAAGCTGGCTCAAAGAGCAACCAGCCACCTCTACAAGGGTGTGCCAGGAGCCGGTGGAGCAGCCACCAACCTCACTCGCTGCCCCTCATGGTACATCAGTTCTACCCTAGAAGTAGAGCCCCAGTGCCATCTGCTTTTCCTCAGGCCTCTGCTCCTTCAGCCATCAGGTGGCAGTCACTCAGTCTGTTGGAATCTGGACACACCTCCTTCCTTGAGTGGGTGAGGTTGGTGGCTGTTCCTGCTGCTCTGGGCGCACCCTTGCAGAGATGGCTGGCTGCTGTTTGAGCCAGCTTGGCCTTGCCTGGTATGCACAGAACGCAGGTACCAAAGTGCTGCTC